TTTCATGTCATATTGTATCCAGCAAGGTTTGTGGTTCTTGAAAATACCACCAGGACTGAACTACTTAAAGGTGCACTCATGAAATGCACAGGACCGAGTATAGCTGAAACAATCTTGAAAAAGAAAAAAGTTGAAGGACTTACATTTTCTGATTTCAAAACTCACTACAAAGCTACAATAATTAAGACTGTGTGTTTGGCATAAGGATGGACTTATAGATCAGTGGAATAAAATTGAGAGTCCAGAAATAAACCCATACATTTATGGGCAATTAATTTTTTACAAGGGTGCGATGACAATTCAATGGGGAATTACAGGTGTGTGTTTTTTCAACACAAATAGTGTGGGGACATTTGAGTATCCACATACAAAAGAATGAAGTGGACTCCTTTGTCCTACCTCTTACAAAAATGGACTAAAAATGGATCCAATCCCTAAAAGTAAGCGTTAAAACTATAACATTCTTAGAAGAACTTGGATCAGACAATAGTTTCTTAGATAAGACACCCAAAACACAGGCAACAAACGGATAATATAGGCATATTAGATTTTACCAAAATATAGGGTTCTAATCCAGGCTCTGCCCTCGGTTCTGTGTGCCCTTGGGTAGGTCTCTCCCCCTAACAGCAATAAAAAGACAAATAACCTAATTTTAAAATTAACAAAGGATTAAAAAAAAAACCTCAATTTATCCAAAGATGGTATACACATGGCAAATAAGCACAAGAAAAATGCTCAGCATCCTTAATCGTTAGGGAAGTGCAAAATCAAAACCACAATGAGATACCACTTCACACCCCCTAGGATGATGGCTGGGATGAAGACAATCACAGTGTTGTTAGGATGTGGAGAAATTGGAACCCTCATACATTGCTAATGGGAATGTAAAATAATGCAGCTGCTTTGGGGAAATCTTTGGCAGTTCCTCAAAAATTTAAACATAGAGTTATGATATACCCAGCAATTTCACTTTTAGGTATATGCACAAAAGAATTAAAAGCATATGTTTACCCAATAACTTTTAGGTCAATGTTCATAGCAGCATTATGTATAATAGCTAAAAAATGGAAATAACCCAAATATCCATCAACTGATGAGTGGATCAACAAAGTGTGACTTATCTATACAATGGAATATTATTCAGCAAAACAAAGGAATGAAGTACTGATAAGTGCTACAACACAGGTTAACCTTGAACACATTATGCTAAGTGAAAGAAGCCAGACTCAAAAGACCACATAGTGTGTGATTCCATTGCCCAGAAGAAGTAAACCCATAGAAATGAAAATAGGTTAGTGCGGATGGTTACACAAGGTTGGGAATACAGTACAAGCCACTGAATTGGACACTTTAAAAGGGAGAATTTTATGGTATATGAATTATATCTCAACAAAACATTGAGAAAAGTTAAAGGAGGATCCGTAAAGCAGGAGGTTATAAATTACTTGCTTACACTGAGAAAAATCTATTTGTCATGGTCCCAGTTCCCTTATCTGTAAAAAAAAAAAAAAAAAAAAAAAAAAAAAAAAAAAATGTACTTCATTTATCTTTTTCTGAAATGCTTTGAGTGAATTACTAAAGAATTTCTGAGCATACCTTTTAAACTGGCTAATCTCCTCCATAGAGAGAAAGCCCAAGTCTAGTTGGGATAAGCCACATTCTCAAAATCTCAAAACGGGTCACCAGCACAGCCCGGCTTAGATCCCAGGAATCATGCAGCCATTGACATCCTCTGGGACTCACTCGACCCTGATACTGGGCAAGTTCTGTATGGATTAAAACCTGCTGTTAAATGTTGTCTGGGAAAAAAAATAACTATTGACTGTGTAAAAACAAATATTACCATGTCTCACATTTTAACATTTCCCTTTAACAGTGGTGAGTTGTGTGGAGAGGATTTAATATTTAATACAGGAGATAAAACCTGAGCTAGGACCAACTTTTGTTCATCAGCAGAACCATCATCATTTTTGTATTTATCTTCCACCTCATCTCCTCTTTCTTCTGCCTTCCCCCTCTTGCTTGTTTTTCTCACCAGTCTTGCCCACTCCTTTCCACTGCATCTGGTGGGCTGCATATTCCTTATTGCCTCTTCCATGTAACACTTACGCAGGCTGCTCACTGCACAAGTGCGCCTGGCTGAGAAGTGAGTGGAGCTGCCATCCAGTCGTGGCTGCCCATCAGTGAGCTCTTGTGCACCACAGTGTCCTCAGGAAGGAGGGACACCTTTTTCTAATTGCACACTCGCTCCCTTTAGGCTACCAGAGTCCTCTTCATTTTTGTAATTAATTCCTTCCTCCTCTCTGACTTGGTTAACTTGTCATACCCCATTATCATCTGACATCACACGCTTTACTTTTTAAAAATATATATTTTATTGATTTTTTTACAGAGAGGAAGGGAGAGGGTTAGAGAGCTAGAAACATCGATGAGAGAGAAACATTGACCAGCTGCCTCTTGCACACCCCCTACTGGGGATGTACCCGCAACCAATGTACGCGCCCTTGACCAGAATCGAACCTGGGACCTTTCAGTCCGAAGACCGATGCTCTATCCACTGAGCCAAACCGGTTTTGGCACACTCTTTACTTTTTAAAGAATTGATCTTTGTTGTTGAAAGTATTGCAGATGCCCCCTCTTTACTGTTTCTTATAAGCACCTCTCGTCATTTATAACATTGCATCTATCCCTTGGGTTCTTTGTCTAATGGTTATTTCCCCAGTGGATTTTCAGCCATGTGAGGGTGAGGACTATGCCTTCCGGGTTCTCCACTGTACCCTCAATGCCTACGCTTTATCCGGCACAACTATTTCCATTCTTATGCTTTGTCTCCCATCGCCAGCCACTGCCCCAGTTCAGGCCACATGTGGCACTTCTGACATGTCTCCCATCCTACCAGCCTAGACTGGGCTTTCTAAAATATAGATATATTTGAGTCCTTCCCCTGTTTAGACTTTCTATGGCTCTCCATTGCCTTTAGGATACAGCTCAAATGAGACCACTGTGGCTTTGCCTCCGCTTTTCCCCCCATCTCACCTCTGGCCCCTTCCTGGGAGCAGTTTTGGTTCCACGAAGGCACAGTTTGCTTTCCTTCACCTCTCCCATGTAACACTTATGCAGATCCTTCTGGCTTCACTCTGTGTAAGTCTTTGCACTTACTGTTCCCTCCATTCCCTCCCCTTGGGGCAACTTCATTTGGCTCCTCTTCCCTGACCAAGGAACGCCTTCTAGATTCTTATTAGGGGCGACCTACTTGTCTGTCCCTCTGTCTCTGCAGTGTTCCTCTGCTGCATGTGCCCACATTATAGCACTCAATCCATTGTAATGTAACCGGCTGCTGACCGATACAGTTTTCCCAAATGTCTGGGTGCTTCCCGAGGGCAGGAACCATGTCCACTGGTCTCTGTTTTTACCCAGCATCTGGCCTCTGTTAAATGAATGAATCCATGAATGAGCCCCCAAGGGTTCTCACAGAGTGTAAGAAACGCCCTGGCACATCTGGGGAAGCAGCCAGGAGAAACGCTGAGGACCATTAGAAGCAGAGCAACTCTGGTGGCTCCTCAGGGACCCTGCGCTGGGGAGAGCAGAGGCTCTCCTGGGAGTGGAGAGCAGATCCTCAGATAGGAAATGAGGCCTTTCCTGCTGGCTGGCGTCACATCGTGCCTGCTTCCCCCAGGGCCCCCCACTTGGTGAGAAGAACCCTTATGAGTGGGCTTATAAGGTTTTCGAGGGGAAAAGGGTCTGTAAAGGTGGGACTAGGAAGCACTGATGTCTTGGTGGCAAGTGTGTGTGTGTTAGGGGTGGGGTTGGGGTGGCATGTCAACGGGGAAAATTTTTTTGCCAGGCTATCCTTCAAGGAGAGGATGGGAGGGCAGAAGTGCCTCTGTGTATATTTGGGCGTGTATGTGTGTCTATGAGCTCTCCCCTGTGGTTGTGTGTGTGTCTATGAGCATTGTGTTATTTTTCTCGTTTCTCAAGATACAGCTCAAGTGGCATCTCCTCCCCAGCACCCTGGCTGAATCAGTGGCTCCTTCACTGCCCCAGAGTGTTCATATCTTGATGAGAGCATCTATGCCACCTGTGGGGAGGCAGGTCTGCACGTGCCCCTCTCCTTGCAGGTTCTGGTCTTAGGAGATCCGAGTGCTGAGATGCTCTGGTGCCTGGTTTCTGGCTGAGCTGAAGCATCTGTACCTTTCTCATCTTCAGTGACATCCCCTAGTGTTTACACCTATCGCTAAGAGCCTGTAAGTACTGGACAGCTGGCCATGCCCCTTCACACTTGTTTAGTGTTTCCTCATAATGCTGTGAGCTCCAGAGCACACCCTTTGTACCCATGAGGATTCTGACTTGGCACCTGAGGCCATGACTCCCCAGGGATCCTTCTGGCTTCACTCTGTGCATGGAGAAGTGTGATTCTCAATCTTTTATGCATAGTCAGAACCACCTGGGAAGCTTTTGAAAATACCAATATCCTCCCCAGCCAGTGTGGCTCAGTGTTTGGGTGTCAACCTATAAACCAGGAGGTCACAGTTCAATTCCCGGTCAGGGCACATGCCCGGGTTGCAAGCTTGATCCCCAGTGTGGGGTGTGCAGGAGGCAGCTGATCGATGATTCTCTCATCATTAATGTTTCTATCTCTCTTTCCCACTTCCTTCCTCTCTGAAGTCAATAAAAAAATATATTAAAGAAAAAAAATACCAATATCTGGCACCAGGTGTCTGGAGCAGATCGATAAAACAGATTCTCCGGAGGGTAAGGTGTGGGGAAGCATAGATCACTTTATAAACTACCCAGATCATTCTAATATGCACCTGACAAGAAAACCACTGACGGATGTGTCATTACGTTGGTCGTGGTCATAGGAACCTCCCCACATGCTGGAGACACGTGTACCCCTCCTTTCTCTCTCCTGGCTCCAGGTTTCCACCTGCAGGGCTAGTGGCTGCATTGGGTCAGTAGTCTGCCCCTGCCCCTAGGCCCTAAGGAAAGCCAGGACCACCTTGGTATAAATTAGCATTTTTATTTCCAACACCTGGGCAAGGCCAGCAGCTCACCCTCCTTTGATATAAACATTACAAAGTTCCTTTCGCACCGCACACCATGCCTCCCATAAATACAGCCTTGGGGGCTCCTGCTCCGGCAAAGCATCTCTTATTTACAGGAATAGATTACAAAAGTATTACAAAAAGTGGTCCTGAATAGGGGGTGGGAGAGGTTACCATTACACTTGTTACACTTGGGACAGGAGCTGGGCGCGCAGGGGGTGGGAAAGAGCTGGTGTCTCCAAGGGCTCAGGAAAGGAGAGACCAAGACTCACCGACCGCATTGGGGACCGGTGGGTCTGGGCTGTAGGTCTACGCGCGTCCCACCCACATGGAAAAGGGGTGAGGAGGAGGAAGGGCTTGGCTCCTCCCGGATCAGCTCTGCCCACGGAGGAACTCAGACCGGTCACCACAGTGGGTCTTGGGGAAGGATGCTGCGTGGGGGGAAAAGGACTGTGTCCGTGCTCTGGGGTACGGAAAGGCGGAAACGCATCAGTTCTCCCGCCTCCCCTCCCTCGGGAGGGGCTGCTTTTAAAGCGCCTTTGGCGACAGTGGTTCAATCTTTTGGGGGCGCGGGAAACCTCAGGGCGCCATCCCTCTGGCGGTGGCCAGCCTCGTCCTTCCACACGGGGCCGTCCGTCGACACCCTCAAAGCGCCTGGTAGATCGGGTTGGGGTTCGCGCCCCCGGGGCACTGCGGGGCAACATCAGGGGTAGGGGTTGGGGCGCCGGGATCGTCCTCGTTCGTGGCGGCCGCCTCATGCGGGCCCGGGGACGCCTCCGGCGGCGGGTTGGCCAGCAGCGGCGGGTCGGCCAGCAGCAGCGCGGGCGCGGGCGCGGCGGGGCTCTCGGTGGAGATGCGCTCCACGATGCTGGACAGGCAGTCGAGGCTCGACACGGCAGCGCTCTTCCCGGGTCTGGGCTCTGCGCGGGGAGAGACTGGGGTTAGCAAGCAGGGGTTCCTGGTGCTCTACCGGACACTGAGGGCCTGGCACTCTCCGGTGCGATCCACCAAGAGCGCGCGGCCAAAGGAGAGGGAGCCATGAGCTTAGCATTTCGTTCCTTGTACCTTGCAGGAATTCGTTCATTACAGGATTGGTGTGTGTGGAGCACAGGTGGGTGGGGAGGTGGGGGAGGTGGGCGGGAGTTGGAGGGGGGTGTCCTAGGGAGAGGGAAGCCAGGATAGTTCAAAGGGAAACGTGGGAAGAATGAGGCGCCAATACGCACCGCTGGGCGCCTGGCTGAAGTAGGAGCCCTCGTAGCAGGTCCGCCGCCGGGCACCGCTCGTGGGGCCGCTGAAATCCATCTGCAAAGGGCAAGGGCGATGGATCGATTCAGGCCCGCGGGGCCTCTGGAGCATCACTCCAGCTCGCCCAGTCCCCACCCCAGCTTCCCCAGTCTCAGCCACGTGTCTCCTGTCCTCCTTGATGGAGGGGTTGGGATTAGGGTGGACAGGAGCTGTCTGGAGCTGTCAGGCCAGATAGAAGGAGACAGTCACCTACCTAGGAACGCAAATCTTAACTTTGGAAATAGGAATACATGGGGGTGTGGGGTGTGTATGGGGGGGGTGGGCGAGCAGATCACAGTGCAGCCGTGTTCTGATAGCGCTCCCAGTCAGGTGGCCCAAACACAAGGCTATCCCAGTGACAGCTCCCCAGGACACGGGATCCACTCCCCGGAAGGTTCCCCGTCCAACCCTTACCCCCACCCTCCATAGAGGAAATGCTTCATAGATACACCCCGAGAGCTGCCCCCACTCCTCCCCTAGCCCGGGGTTCCAGCCTCACCATGCCGTCGGAGCAATTGGAGCGCGGGCTGGACGCGTCCGAGTCGCCGCTGTAGTGCTCACCACCGCCGGGGCCCGAAGGCAGGGGGCCGGGCGCGTAGAAGGCGGCGGCGGCGCCGGGGGGCGCAGCGTCCTGGTCGCGCAGCAGCGCCTGCAGGCCCTCGATATAGCGGATGGCGTTGCGCAGGATCTCCACCTTGGGCAGCCGCTGGTTGGGGTTGCTGGACGTGCAGCGCTTGAGCGTCTCGAAGGCCTCGTTGACCTTGCTCAGGCGGCGGCGCTCGCGCATGGTGGCAGCCTTGCGGCGGTCGGCGTTGGTGGTCTTGCGCTTGCACGCCTTGCACGCCCAGAGCAGGCAGCGGCCAGCCTGGTGGTGCCCGCTGGGCGCGCGCACATGCTCGTCCTCGCGGGCGCCGGGCGCCGGGTGCGCCGCCGCTGGGAAGTGCGAGTCCTCGGGTTTCAGAAACGCGCCCACGTGGACGAGGCGCGGGTCCAGGTCCTCAAAGAAGCGCAGGTCCGGGGAGTCGAAACACGGGTCGTCGTAGAAGTCGTCCGCCCCCGTGGCAAAGTTGCAGAGAGAGCCGTCGGGACCCGTCAGGTCCACGTCGCGCAGCGGTGGCGACAGCAGCTCCATAGCTCGGCCCGGGGCGGCGGCGGCGGCGCAGTCCTGGCTCTGCCCAACCGCAGCGGCAAGGGTTGCCCTAAACGTTTTGCCACTCTGGAGCCCCGGCCGCCGCCGTGTGATAGCCAAGTACTGGGGGTCTGGATGTATACCCGACCACCACCCCACCTCACCCTGCCCAGTCCGGTCCGGCCAGACGGGTACCCCGGAAAGTGGAGGCAGTGCCCTGGGGCTCCTCCACCCCTAACTTCAAGCCAGGCGCCCGGGGGCTATTTATCCAGTAGTAGCCTCCTGGTCCCCCGAGCTGGAGCGGGCTGCCGGGGGCGGGGGCGCCAGAGGCCAATCGGAGCAGGGAAGGGAGGAGCTTGGGATCCCCTGGGTGGCCGCGGGGGCTGGGCCCCTACCTCTCCAAACTCGGAGCGCGCGCTCTGACTCCTCCCCGGGCAGGAAGGGAGGCAGAAGCTGGCAGCACCACGCGGCTGCACTTGGCTCCCGGGCACAGGGCACACTCTTCTTTCCAAACCTCTCCGGCACAAGACTCTCCCTGTGTCCACAGAAAACGCTGGCCGAGGGCGCTCGCCTCCCAACTTGACTTTGGGCTCCTCTGTCCTCTGATTTGGGGTAGGAGGACCCAGAAGCAGGGTAGGCGTAGACGTCAGATCTGAAGAGATTTGGAGACACACTCAGAGCTGAGACAGTGAGTCCGTGAGAAAGGCTGAGAGACAGTCAGAAAGCAGAAGGCTAGCGTCAGAGGCAGAGAAAAGCGCCAACAAGAGATAGACTCAGAGTGAGTAACCCTGAGTCAAACTGGACGTGACAGCTTGATCATTAGGCCAGTTCCTGCTCATCTTCCATACACGTTTGGAAGTCCAGCTGCATCTATGCCGTGGTCTAGGATTGCTGCGAAAGCTTTGCACTAAGCGCTCCAAATTCAAACTCCGGTCCCTGCTTTGAGGGAGGAAAATGGACTCTTTGCCCATCTCAACATGCACATTCTGGCACCTGGGAATCCAGTGCTGGTCTAGGAGGAACTGTCTCTTCATCTGGAAAGAAAATTCCTACTGCTCAGGTCTTGCCTCCCCTTGGCCTGCAGTGCTGCCCCAGAAAAGTTTATTTCACAAAGACCACGGATGCCCAGACCCATCCTGAGAGCACCCTTCCGCGTGGAGTTTTCAGCCAATGACCTAAGTTCCAGTACAGACCCCACAGTTTCCTGTCTGATTTTGTGGAAGTTGCTGGCCTTCCGAGCCTATTCCCCCACTTTGCAAATTTGGGGATAATCATAGAGATCTCTGGGAGTGATTGTGGTGAGAATCTGGAGACAAAAGATGTGGTAGCCCACAGTTTGAGGTGCCAGGCTACAGTCACAAGAAGGGTTTGCTTCTGTCACTGGCCATGGTGGACTGTACCCTCTCTGTAGGCTCCCCAGCTGCTGGCTGGGGCATAGAGCCCTGACAGGGGCCATGTAGACTCAGGGCTCAGCCCCCACTGAGGCTGCAGCTGCATTTCTTCCCAACAGGCCCACTGCAGAGATGGAGAACAGGAGGAGGCAACCACCCCATGAAATCCCTGGCTCCCTCACAAGCCCTGGGGTGCACCTACCCCCATAGGGCTTCTCAGCCTCTTCCTGGATCTGCAGTCCACACCTTCCTCTCAGCACTCTGGCCAGAGGGCTCACTTGGACTAGTCACTCCCTTGGGTCTCTTCTTCTGGAGCACAGAGATAGAAGCAAGAATGATTTTTGTACCTTTCCCACTAACTCCTGGAAGCCTTCCTAACTGGTTTTCTGGGTGTTGGGAAGCCCTCTCTTCCCACCAAACCTAGCGAGGGCTCTTTTGGAGCACTGTCTTCTTCACTTGTAGTAGTGCTGGAAAGCCCTTTCATGAAATACATGTTAGCCTCCTTTTGCTCCATAACACCACTTTTATTAATTCATTGAACACATATTATGGAGCATCAATTTGGTGAGCCAGGTACTGGTCCAAGTGATGAAGGTAAAGTAATGAACAAAATTAAGGTGCTTTCATGGTGCTCACATTTTAGGGTAGGGCGATAGACAAGAAATGAATAAACACAGGAGTAGATGATGTCAGGAGGTTATATGTTCTATAAAGAAAAATAAAATAAGACTAGATTTCATTATATGGAGTGGTCGGGGAAGACCTCTTTAGGCTGATTACATTTGAGCAGAGCTCTGGATGAAGAGGGCAGAGCAGAAGTAGGCATCTGTAGCCAGACAGAAGGAAAAGCATGTGCAAAGGTCCTGGGGCAGGGTTGTGTATGGTAGATTTAAAGTATAGCAAGGAGGCCAGTATGTCTGGAGAAGGGTTAGCCAGTAGGAGAGTGGTGGGGACAGGGTCATAGGGGGAGCAAAGGAATTGTATTCTGGAACATCATGGGAGGGCTTGAGCAGAAGAGAAGAATGTCATAATCTGACTTACATTTTAACAGGAGCATGTTGGTTATAGAAAGCAAGGGCAGAAGCAGGGAGAGCAAATGGAGGCTAGTGCAATATTCCAAGTGAGTAGTTATGGTGGCTTAGATGTGGGTGGCAGCTGTAGAGATGGTGAAAGTGGTTGAATTCCAGATATATTTTGAAGATGGAGTCAGCAAGGCTTATTTATAATCGGAAGTGGGCACTGAGATGAGAGGATTTTAAGGATGACTCCTGAAAGAGTGAAGTTGGAGAAGAGCAGTTTGTGGGTGTCAGATCAAGAGTCTGAGTTTGGGCAAAATTTGAAATGCATAGTCAACATCCAGGTGGAGATGTCAAGTAGGCAAGAGGATTTATGAGGCCGGAATTCCAGAGGAGAGATCTGTGCATGTGGAGGACCTCTCCACTTAACCTCTAAGACGTCTCTCAAGCCTCTCCATCTCCAGTGTCGCCATCCTGGACTAAGCTGCCACACTGCTGGCATGGACAACCCCAACAGCCTCCTGGCTACTCCCCTTACTTCCACTCTTGTTCCAGTGTATTCATTACACATCAACCTGAGTAATCCCTTAAAACCATAAATGGGATTATAACCCTCTTCTCTTCAAACTCCCTAACAGCTTCTCATTGCATTTAGAATAAAATCTCATGTCCTCACCCTGGCCTATAAGACCCTGCATGAGCTGCCTCAGCCCATCTCTGGAATTTCACGTGAACCGTGGTCCCCTTTGAACTCCATTCTAGCCTGATCACCTTTTCTTGTGTTCCAACACTCTGAGCACGGTCCTGCCTCAGGGCCTTGTTCTTACTGATGACAGCAACCTCTCCCAGACTCTTTTCTTTTCTTTTCTTAATATATTGATATTTTATTGATTTTTTTTACAGAGAGGAAGAGAGAGGGATAGAGAGTTAGAAACACCGATGAGAGAGAATCGTCGATCAGCTGCTTCCTATACAGCCCCTACACTGGGGATGTGCCCACAACCAAGGTACATGCCCTTGACCGGAATCGAACCCCGGACCTTCAAGTCTGCAGGCTGACACTCTACCCACTAAGCCAAACCGGTTTCGAATCTCCCGGACTCTTTTCAAGATTGGTTGCTATTCATGTATCACATTCTTCACGGTGAGTGGTAGTCAAGTGAAAAGACTAGCCTAAATGTCTCTCACCATCCTCTCTAAGGTAACTGCGTCATATCAACCTGCTCATTTCCTTCTTAGCACAGCCACCTCTTAATTATCTCCTTCATTAGTTTCGTCCATTGATTGATGTAGCTCCAGGAAGGCAGGGACGTTTTGTTCATCGTGGCACCAGAAACCAACACAGAAACCAAGTTTGTCACGTAGGACAAACTTGATATAAATATCAAATGAATGAATGGATGGCCCTTTGGATCTCTGTATTTGAACTCCTTGAAATGTGTCATTAGTGAGGATGGTTGTATTTCTTTGACACTGGACAGTTGCACAGACGATTAGACATACATGCTCAGTCACACGTGCTCTTCCCAGGCAAGACTAAGGCCCATGGACCTGGGGCATGTTACTTTAAGTCAAGCAATTACACACGGCTTGCTGTAAAATTGTAATAGTTTACCACAGAGAGATTTGGTGCTTATTGTAAGCTTGAGTCTTTTCACTTGACTACCACTCACCGTGAAGAATGTGAATAATGATGACATTAGTGATTTAGATGGAAACAAATATTCTTCCTACTTGCTCAGGCCTCAGCAGAATGTCTGGCACATAGTAGGCACTCAGTAAATATTGGTTGGATGAATGAATGAGCGAATCAAACCATTTTATTGAGGGAATACTTTGAGATTTCCAGGTGAGCTCTTCAAACCACATATTCATATAAATCTAGACTTTTCTCAAACCTGAGCAAAGAAAACACAGAAATAAATCAGATGCTGAGGCTTAAATGATTACAACCTGGCTTTTTTGTGTGTTTTGCATTCAGAAAAACAACCTTGGGGCTTTCATCAAGGTGACAACAAATACATGTTTTGTTTAAACTTACCAAACACATTTAATATTTTATCACCTGTGGCTCAGGAATCTAAAGGGCTTTGGTAGCTTTACACTTGATTTGGAGTTTTATCTTCTTCTTCAGTAATTAGGAAGCCCCTTTTAAAATTTCTTTATCGATTAAGTATGACATATTTATCCTCAACCCCCCATTCCAATCCCCACCCCCATTCTCTTGCCCCCACCCCTCTATTGTCCTCGACCACTGGTTAGGCTCATATGTATGCACATAAGTCTTTTGGTTGATCTCTCCCTTTTAGGAAGCCCTTTTTAAAAAATGCACACACACTCTAGTGGTGCATGCCACTTTCCTGTTAGACTTCTGCATGGAATTTTGTTTGCTACAAGGCTTCTGCAGCTTGCTGAGTTTGGGAGTCCCTGGACTTGGTGAGCATTGCAGATCTCCCCAGGACGGGGACCCAGGCCTGCCCAAGGTTGCTCTCCGGTTCTGCCACTGCATCTTTGGGAGAGGTTTGCTAGCACCATCATCTCATCCCTGTTGCCGAAAGAGCAAGAGAAGGATGTCCTGGGCCCTGGTGCTGGGTTGGGGGCAGGGAGGAAAAGGACATCAAGTTTGGAAGCTGAAAGAGTCCAAATCCTAATATTGCAGAGTCTAGTCAAGGGTGTCCCTCGGGGATTTGATCAGCTCAAGGACAATGGGCTGAAGATCCTATGGAGGGGCCACCCCCGGCACCTCTTCCTCCAATTCAAGGCTGATAGTGGGCAGGGGCCCCACAGCGCCCACAGTGCACACACCACCCACACAGCCACCCCTGTTCACCAGGGCAGGAAGGAAGTATG